AGTTTGATCCCTCTGTTCGAGGGGTTGCCTAATTGGCAGTGGTGGATGAAACTTATCTTTGTTCTCCTGATACAACCTCGCCAGAGTGACCTTCAGCGGAGTAATCAGCTCTTCCTCCCTGGACCTTTTTTCTGCCTTCCAAGAGGTCTGACGTTGCGGCTGAGCCTGCTTCTGCCTAATCTTTGCCTTGGACTTTTCCTCGGTCGACACGAGCGACGCTGTCCGAGCATTAGCTGCCTCCTCTTCTTCTAGGCGCACAAAGCCATCGGCTCTTTCATTGAGTTCATCCATAGTAGTTGGCGTGTTCACTACCAGACTGGTGTGAAACGGAGTTCCACGTGTCATGGCTAACTTGAAGGCTTGAACTGATGTAGAAGGGTGGCATTCGATCACCATACTCTTAGTGAGATTAAACCTGGTAAGAAAAGCCTGGAGACGTTCATCCTTGTGCTGCCTCATCGTGAATAGGCTCGAGATGTCTTTCGGCGGGCGTTTGTTCCCATAGTACTGGCTTATGAACCGATCGCACAGGTTTCTGAAGCTACCAATGGAGCTCCTAGGCAAATTTTTGAACCAGCTGAGCGCCGGTCCGGCTAGGCTTGTAGGGAAACATTTGCACATTAAAGAGTCGTTTTCCGTATTCAGGGCCATTTTCAACTGGATATGATACACATGATCGATCGGATCGGTCGTTCCGTCGAACAGAATAAAGACTGGCATAGCAAACTTCCTTGGATGCGGGGCATTCAAGATCTCGTCGGTGAATGGTGAATCCACCGTCCGAGCTGCGGATCGGAGAGCTTCATTCTCTCTCTAGAGTCCAGCGGTAGCTCTGTGAGTTACGGTTCTGCCCTCCAAACCACGATGAGTGATAGTAACCATGGAGGGCCGGTAAGACGGATCGAATGACCGTTCCTCTATGAACTCTCTTTGCCAAGGCGACGCTACTCGACGGCGATCAACCTCTATCACTTCCTCTCGGTCGAACCTTTCCAGATGCGGATCAACGTGAGTCGATCCTTCGTGATCTTCAACTCGACGAACATTTGGTGGCAAATTGTCCATCATCCTTTCATCACGGTGGTGAGCTGACTGATTGTTCTCGTCCTGTTCGCCTTGACGCGCGATATTAGATTGAACACCTCCTTCTCCGACCGGAAGTGGATGCGAAACCGCAGGTATTTGCCGATGTTGCATTCCAGCTTTCAACTCTGCATTCTCTTTTTTGAGAGCTTCAATCAAGTTCATCAACTCCTCAAGCTTTGTTTGCTGGACAGCCTCCATCGAATTGGAGCTTTCACCTATCATTATTCCTGAACGGAGTAAAGGCATTAATCTCAAGTTCGCGAGTAGATCCAAGCTTCGTGAGTGGGAATTTTTAGATCTGGCTTCTAATTCTCCGAATTATGCTCACTGTTTACGAGATCTGAATTGTCTGAACTCTAAATCCATCAGATCCTGCCACAATCGAACAACTCGTTGTTGCGTAGATCTGAAGCCACTCCTGCCAAAGCTTCAAGAATTGTAATTCCTCCAGAGTAGGTCACAATCGCTCAGATCTGGATCCAAATCCCAAAGATCGAGTCTCGATCAACCGAATTGGTTTGAATCCACTCGATATTCCTCATTGATCAACCAAACTTCCATGCGATTCCCACAGACGGCGCCAATTGAAGATGCAAGAAATTCGTTCCCTCTTTCTCTCTCTAGAATTCTTACACTTCAACCCCAAAAAGCTCTTCCCCCTTTCCATTCCTTCTCCTATTTATAGATATTTACAAGATATTTACAAGATATTGACTGATTGCTGGATCTGGGCCTATTCCTCCATAAGTCCTGGTCACCTTTGATGGGCTTACTCGCGTTCGGCCCATATGGCAGTGTCTTTATATGGGCCGACCCAGCTGTACGGACCGAATGTAGTGCTTGCAAGTCGGATCCGGCCCATGTCGTCCTGGGCCTCCTCAACATCCAAAATGATTGCATGCATAGCCCGTTCATACTAAATACCGAGATTGATCTTAGACTTTTTATTTCTGCAGCCATATCCACACCATGGTACAATCGCACAGCCAATGCCACGTACTACTTTGTGCCGTGGGAGGATCATAAATTCACATCCGACGAGTGGCAGAAGTCTAGTGTCACTGGCGAAAAAAATGTTATTCTTACTTATAAGAATATTCTTTTGTTCTTGGTTAGCATGGTAAAAAGAGTGATTTATTTATTTAATTTTGGCGTGGTGAGCTTAGTTAAAACATATTATCCATGTGTTAGTCTTAATCTTGATGCCAGACTATCAGGGATATATATTATTGCACAAATAATATTTGGTAATATTTGGGATGCCACTATTCATCTGACATCCACCATTATTTAAGTAAATAATATACATGGCTGGTTATTATCGATACTGTACCGTGCAACAGACACAACTAAATTTATAAATTTTTATAATTTTTTTATAAATTTATAGAGGTGGCGGGCCAACTTTATAAAGTCGTTGGGTAGCCACTTGTTTGTCTTATTTTGAAATGTCTTTGTTTGGGCCAATGATTGGTAGCTATTCATAGACTTCTACTCAATTCAATTTTAAAATATATTATGGTTCTTTAGATAAATGATATGGAAATTTAGGACGGACAAAAAAATAAGAAAAAAAAAAAAAAAATCCTCTATTCATTGAGATATTGAAGGTTCAACTCCTCATGGACAAAGTAGAGGCCAAATTATTTGTGCAGATAAATTTATTTTTTATTTTTGAAAAAACAAAACAAAAGAATAAGAACCCAAAGCCCAGGATGGGTGGAATGGAGTGCGAGCCTAGGCAGACTGAAATGGGCCCTTATAAACATGAGGGTCCATTTACAATAAGAACTATCTCATTTTTTGTCTTTTTACGTCCAGTTAGTTGTGTCACCTTCAGTTCGGCCTGGCAAAAGCCAACTTCCAATGTCACAAAACCTATTAGGCTCAGTAGCCCATTTAGTTTGATGGTAGGCCACAGTTGACCCTTGATTACAGAATGCATAGGAAGCCCGGCAACATCATGTCTGATTAAGTTTAGGGTTGGAGTGAATGACTGAATGTTAATTTGAGCTCAAAATGCTACCGAATCAATCTTCTGATGTATGGTTATTAACTAATTAATCAATTAATTATATATATATATATATATATATATATATATATCCTGGTAAGGAGGGAGAGGGTGGTTGAAGTCGAACCTGGTCCCGCAGGACTCATTAATCTTCTAATTTATGATTTATCGTTTTAAAGTTTTGAAATCTAAAGTATGATTCTAATTTTTTGTTACTTTGTGTCATCTTATCTTATCTTATTTTATTTTATTTTATTTTTTTTTATGAACCCCAATTGTACAAAACAAGTCTTTTGTTCGCAAAAATAAAATAATATTATTACATGAAACTGCAAGATACTATATGATATCACTATTTGACATTGTTACATAGTAATTATTACTCCGTATATAACCTACTTGGTCTTCAAATTAAACAGTTGTAACAACATCGTTTATCTTCCCCTTATCTTGTACAAATTGTCTATCTCTAGATCTTGATGTTGTTAAAAAAAATGATGATGATAATAATCTCTTGATTTTCTCTTGCAACACTGGCATATAATTTTTCAGAGAGTGGCCTAGTTGTCAAACACACGTTCATAGATGTATGCATTACAAATTCTCACTTGCAAAAGTGACCTAATCCAAATCATCCCCTTGCTTTAAGGGCCCAATGCCATGTACTCAACTTCTTGTTTGGTGTACGGTTTGGTTTGGTTTGGTTTTGTTTTGTTTTGTTTTGTTTTGTTTTTGTTTTTTTTTTTTTTTTTTTTTGGGTTAATTGGATAAGAAATCATCAGCAAGTTGAACACTGCGATATGCAATTAGTTAGTTTTTATTTTTTATTTTTTATTTTTTATTTTTTAAGTTAAAACAAAATTATACCTATTATTCACATATTCTTATCGACTTAAACTCTCAAACTCCCATTAAGAAAAGAAAGGTAATATCATTAGGTCAGAATTCTTTTCATTCATATATAATGTTGGAGTTGTGAATAATTTGAACATTACCGTTATACTAGGAAGAACATTAAATATGAAGTCCACTAATATTTGGGCACTTATTAATTTGCAAATGCACAACTTTAGTTTACAGACTTCAGGCTCATCTTCGTAAAATATATTCTCTCTGTCCTTAAGTAGAAGTTCATGTTTAGAAATTGAAGTTTTTAAGGGGACACGCAATTAATGCATTGTCTCCTTTTAAAATTACCAAGTTATCCTTTTTAATTTAAATATATATAGTTACAAAGTTTGAAATTTTTTAAAAAGATAAAGGATAATGATGGAAATATAATGAAAAGATACTTTAACTTTTCAAGGAGGACAACTAATTTGAAATATGTAAAAATAAAAAAATAAATTACTAATTAGGGACGGATGGAGTATATACCTTTAAGTTTTTGTTATTTTGTTGTCATAAAATATTTATGTAAGAAAAATAAATTAAAATTTAATAAAAATAATTTTCTCATCATCTTAATTAAGTTGGATCTAAACTTTTGTCTAATACTATATATATATATATATATATTATAGATTTGACCCATATTTCACGTTCTATAAGTGGTCAGTGAGACCCATTATTTTTTGTTTTTGTCTCCATTGGAGCACCAAGTTGAAATAAGAAAGAGACGCATAAAGATGGATTGAACGATTGGGTTGAAATAAGAAAGAGACGCATACCTAATATTCATGACTTGCAAGCTTGGAAACGGGGGAAAAGTCCCCACACCCTTGTCGGCTTGTTCATGTCTGTTCTCAAATTGGCACAATTTTAGCTTTGCCACGTATCCAAAATTTGTCACGTGGATCCATGATAAATCGACACATGGATCCTGTCGTTGACGAGGAGATAAGCTGGTCCACGAAATACTGATCACGTAACTTTCAAATTTCTCAAGAGCTCATTCAACAGCTGCACAAACAAACTATTGAATCATTTCTTCTTTTACCATTCTCTCAATCCTTCAATTTTCTCAAGGGCTTATTCTGTTGCTGCACAAAGAAATGGCAGAAGCACTTCTGACTGAAATTGTGAAGAAGTTGGGTTCCGCTCTTCTCCAAGAGATGGGACTTGTGTGGGGCATGAAGGATGAACTTGACAAACTCAGAAACACGGTTTCCACAATCGGAGCAGTACTTGCCGATGCAGAGGAGCAGCAACTCACAAACCATGAGATTGAAGACTGGCTCGAAAAACTCAATGATGCATTTCTTGATGCTGATGACTTGCTCGATGACATCTCCACCCAACTTCTCTGCCGTCAGGCTATGACACACAACACGAGGCTAAAGAAGGTACGCCATTTTTTCTCTAGCTTAAACAAGCTTCCTTTCAGTAGTAAGTTGGCTCATGAGATTAAGGCCATTAGGGAGAGACTAGATGCGATTGCCGAAGATAAGAAAAAGTTTCACCTCACTGAACGGCCTATAAATCAGATGCGAGTTGAGAATATTAAGAGAGAGGAGACTTACTCTTTTGTTCGTGCAGAAAGTGTTATTGGGAGGGATGGTGATAAAATGGCAATTGTACAGCTTTTATTGGAAAGCAACGTTCAGGAACAGAATGTGTCAGTTGTTGCAGTAGTTGGAATTGGGGGAATGGGAAAGACCGCACTTGCACAATTAGTATATAATGATGAGAGGGTCACTAAACATTTTGATCTTAAGACGTGGGTTTGTGTTTCTAACATCTTTGATGCGAAGGTCATTGCAGAAAAGATAATAGGAGACCAAACACCTGAAAATCTTTTGTTGGATAAATTGCAAGAAAAAATTGGTGAGAAGAAATTTTTGTTTGTGTTGGATGATGTGTGGAACGAGAATCGTGACAAATGGTTACAAATGATAGATTTGCTAATGGGTGGTATGAGAGGAAGTAAAATTTTATTGACTACTCGTTCTGAGTTGGTTGCAAATGTTTCAGGGTCAAATTCACCATATTTTTTAAAAGGCTTGTCTGAGGAGGAGTCCTGGTCTTTATTTGAAAAAATGGCATTCAAAGAAAGTAAAGAGTCAGAGAATACATTTCAAGTAACAATAGGCAAGGAAATTGTTCGGAAGTGTAAAGGAGTCCCTCTTGCCATAAGGGCTGTAGGTAGCCTACTATACATTAAAGATACAATGGATGAGTGGGAGCTTTTTAAAAACAACGATTTGTCAAAAATAGCCGAAGAAGAAGATGTTATTTTTCCAATACTGAAGTTAAGTTATGATTATCTTCCTTCGCATCTGAAGAGATGTTTTGCATTCTGTTCCTTATATTTAAAAGATCAAATTATTGATAAGCAAGAATTAATCCAATTGTGGATTTCAGAGGGATTCATTCAGGGACCGGTGTATGAAAATCAGCAGTTGGAGGATGTTGGTGACTTGTATTTTATGGATTTACTTAGGAGGTCCCTTTTTCAAGATGTCCAAAGAGATGAATGGGGTGATGTAATAAGTTGCAAAATGCATGATCTTGTTCACGATCTTGCGCAATTGGTTGCGAAGGCCAAATTTTTCATGGTGAATTTGGACGTAGAAAATGTTGTGAATTTGAATGTAGAAAATGTTGATGCAAGAATTCGTCACATGTCACTTTATTCCGATGTAAATTCGACCCACTTGGATAGAGCTAACAAGTTACGGACATTTTTTTCCAATGCTAAGTATGTTCAAATGTTGGGTAAGTTGACTTTTGAAAGGTTTCTTTCAAGTTTTAAAAGGTTACGTGTATTGGATTTACATTCGGTGGAGGTGGGGATGGGGAAGATGCCTTATATAGGCAAGTTAAAACATTTAAGGTATCTTGATCTCAGTGAAAATTGGGGCATAGAGACTCTGCCAAGTTCCATAACCACATTGCAAAATTTGCTGACCTTAAAACTCAATGGATGTGGGTCTCTTAAAGAATTGCCAAGTGATTTTAAGAAATTGGTCAGTCTTAGACATCTTGAACTTGACAAATGCGATGCATTGAGTTGCATGCCTAATGGATTGGGTGAGTTGACGTCTCTTTTGAAATTAACATTGTTTGTAGCAGAGTCAAATAGCCGATTGAATGAATTGCAAAGCCTAAACAATTTACTGGGAAAGTTAGAAGTTGTTGGACGCGGGGACTGCTCATCTGGCCGCATTTGTTTAAAAACAACATCGACAAATGGCCTAAGCTGGACATTAGAGTTTCCATCGTGGAGAAGGGAAGGAGATCTTGAGCAGGGGTTATTGTTGGAAGGCCTACGTCCACATCTGAATCTAAAGAAGCTGAAATTATTTAATTATTTGGGAGTGAGTTTCCCAAGTTGGATGATGGTTGACGAAATTGGGTTATCCCTCCCAAATCTAATCAGAATTGATATACAAGGCTGTAACGGATGGAAACATCTTCCACCATTTGAGCAACTTCCTTCTCTCCAATTTCTTCGGGTTGAATACTTGTTATCCCTAGAGTACATAGACGAAGAGAACTCGCAACACCAACATCAAAATTCTTGCTTCTCTTCTTTACCCTCCTCATCCAGTGGAGCAGCAACAAGAAGAAGAGAAGCAACACCAGTATCAATATTCTTCCCATCCCTGAAAGAACTCGAATTGGTTACCTTGCTTAAACTGAAAGGATGGTGGATGAGTACTACTGAAGCAGAAGAAGAAGCAACAGCGACCACAACTTCTTCACCAGCTCAACAGCAATATCATCAGCTCCCATCATTTCCTTCTCTTTCCAAATTAACCATCAGTTCCTGCCTTAATCTGGCATCAGTGCCTCTTCTGCAACCATGTCTTGAAACACTAGATCTCATTGCGGTCAACAAGAATCTAGTACAACAGTTAATGATGATGGTGTCTCCAACAACTGTCGCAACGTCGTCCTCTTCATCTTCTTTGCTTCTTCCTCTTCCCAATTTAAAGTCTCTGTCTTTAACATTCATCGAGGATCTAGTTACTCTGCCCGAGGATTCATTTCGAAGCCCCACTTCTCTCCAGAAGCTTGAGATTTGTTATTGTGGAAGACTAACCTCTCTGTCAGGAACACTGCGACATCTCACCGCACTCAATTCCTTGTCTATCCGCCACTGCTGTGGGCTTGATCTGTTAGATGATGATGACGGCATGCAATTTCAAGGCCTCGAGAGCCTGACGTATCTCCATATTGAAGCTCTTCCAAAGCTGGTATCTCTTCCTGTGGGGCTTCAACATGTTACGACTCTGCAAAAACTATACATTTTTCCATGCCTTAAAGTTTTATCTGATAGATGCCAGAAAGAAACAGGGAAAGATTGGCCCAAGATTGCTCACATCCCAATTGTTTCTCTTGATCCATATCCTCGTTTTTCGGTAAGAACATATAACTTCATCTTATTCTTCTCTCTTCTTGTTCATTGTCTCTTTCTTTATTTAAGTTCAATTGTTTGTTTAATGGGACAGATAGACGAATTTGAATTTGAATTGGATTTGCAATCAGACAGTGATGGGCTACAATGACGAGTCATTGTAATAAGTAAACAAGATTGCACATTTCATTCTACAAATTGCAACTACAACAACTTAGTAAATATCCTCTCTCTAGTCTCTCGTCTTTGTACTTCTTTCTTCCTCTTCTCTTTTTGTTATTGTTAATGTAATACTCTTTAACAGTGAATAAAATTATACCAAGTTTGAATAGAAATATTATATTTTTTTTGTTGATTTTATTTTTTCCTTTTGATCTTAACAGGGAATGTCCGCATGTGTTATGGGGTACATTTGTTGTAGTCTTCTTCTTTTTCCTGTCCATGTGTTTAATTTCGAAGGTGAGACATTTTATTAGCTTAATTATTTTTGTGACTTTTATAAACCAATTTGTGATTTTTTTTTTTTTTTTTTTTCATACTCCGATAACTTTATAATTTTAAAAACAAAATTCCATCTTTCAAAATGAAAAATGGAACTATCCATTTCTCTTAATTGTTGGGAAAAGATTGTGCAAAATTAGAAAAATAATAATTAGGATAACTGATTCAAGGCAAGGAGTAATACACTTGGAACAATATTCGCTCCAGTTTTCCTGGTATGTATTAGGTTATGACAAATTTACCTAGAGATATAATGAAACTAGCTAGGTCCATAGACTGTGCCTACAGGCATTATGCACTAACAAAAACATAACATAATACTGATTAGAATAATTAAAAGATTTTTATGTACTTGCCATTTAATAATTTCTTCTTAATTTATACCTGAACTCACCGTATCAACGTGTAAAGGTGCATCGATAGCCTTTACTTTTTTTTTCCCCTCCAGGATTAAATGGTGTCTCCCACCCCTGCACGGTTTTGTTTTTGAGTTTTGCCCCAAAATGCCTCATACTAATTGAAGTGACACACCTACATATAAGTAGGGATGTCAATTTTGACCGCCCCGCTGGGGCTCCGCCCCGTTAATAACGGATATGGGAACACTTTTTATACCGTTGGGGCGGGTATGGATACAAATTTTATACCCGTCGCGAGTCACGGGGTGGGTAAAGGTTCAGTATACATATCCTGGGGGCCCGCCCCGCCCCGTTCCGCTAAGCATATAACTATATATATATATATATATATACAATATTAATAACTTATTTTAGCGGGCTTACCCAGATATCCATCTCTTACAATCCTAATTTGGGATGTAAACTTGATATTAAATATGCTTTTGTTTTGGTTATGGTGGACGTTGGAGTTTAGAACTTCTTGTGATTTGGTTGTATTAAACTTTTATTTTTGTTTGTTATGTTCTCTGAATTATGGCATGTGCATGTTATTTTTTTTATTTTTGTTGAGATAATAATTTCATTTATGTTGTGTCATTCCCAGAATTTCCGCATATAAATAGCAGGAGCTTAAGTTCTAAAAAGTGGGAGAAAAAAATTTGTTAGCAGGGCGGGCACGGGGGCACAATATTCCCCAACGGGGCAGGGCTGGACATAAAAATTCAACCCGTTGCGGGTCTCGGGGCGGGCATGGACTTGACAAAAATTAAAAGGGGCGGTGCGGGATTTAGGGAAACCCGATCCAAACCCACCCCGTTGCCATCCCTACATATAAGCACTTCACCTTTCCTTTACCCAGGCGATGTGGGACTATACACCCGTAGCTCGCCAGTGTGGTAGCCTAATAGTGTCTCGCACCCGCCCACGGCACACCCGCCTACAAGGTCATCACAATCCGCTTTGGGCCTGAGCTAAATTGAATAAAATGAGTTGTTGTTTACTGTGGATATTGATATTTGGACATTTTCTGCTTCTAGAGCATCATTATTGTTTTCTATGAAGCTTGAATGCTTAGCTGAAATGTTTTTCACATGTAGGTTCTTGGAGCTTGGGGGGAGGGGAAAGTAAGGCCAAAAAACAAAAGACAAACAGAGGCAGCATGAGGTGCGAGGGGAATGTGAGCCTATGTCTATATATTAACAAACGCTGGTTTATCAAGAGTACGCAAGAAAAGCAGTTTGAATTGCCACAAATGTTTGCTACTTAGTTTCTTCCACTCCAAAAGTTACTATAGTTGGCTTTCAACATATATTTCTGTGGCTATTTACTACTGGAGACTTATTGTCCCTATTGGTACTAGTGATTAAGGTAGCAATTCCGCTACATATTTTGTCATCCATTTTTCTGCTGCATATGTTGTAGGAGAGAAGCAATGGGCTTCTCTGTGGAGCACGGATATTCAATCCAGAGAGGCAATATAAGCTGCGGGCAATAGCAAACAACTCTGGGATGATTACTGGTAAGAAATTTTACTAATGAACGGACTTTTAAATTGTGCTTTACAACTAACTATTTGGGTTGTCTAGTCCATGAGCCTTCATTTATGTTTGTTTGGTCAGGGCGGTAATATGTTCTTTCAGCCCATTTCAGAAAGGCTAGAGAAGTGCATCCAAACCCAAGAATGGTTGGCCAAGAATGGGAATGCTATTTTGTGCCTCAGAAACTTCATAGGTAAGCTGTCAGCAACTTTTTTTTTTTTTTTTTCCTGGGTAGCTGTCAGCAATTATTATTTGGTTCTTTTATTTGTAATGTGCACTAAGTTCTAAATCTGCCTTCATATTTTTACTGTCATTTGACAATTTAATGCTCAGTCACATGGTGTTCCATTAACAAGGTTGTCAACATTCGCATTCTTGTTTCCTTATTGTATGCTACTGCAATCTCTGGACAGGTTTTATAGCAAGTTGACGTTGAAAATTACTTGATTATTGATGTCCTATTTTCTTCCTTGCAAATTCAGTGAATGCTGCATTACTTGTGAATAATAAAATTAGGTACAAAAAATGTGCTTAGTTTCACTACATTCCATAAAGTCATTAACACAATTCATTTGCCATGGAAGCTCATGCTGGATGCATTTTGGTAAAACAAAAAGTATTGGGCTTAATGTTGGTATATGTTGTAAGACTATCTGTAAAAACCATGTGAAAAATCTTTTTTGTTTCATAGTTGATACTCACACACACATGCCTCCAAGGAGGCTTGAACCCTTGACCTTATTTTGGAAAGTAAGAGCCTGATACCGCTAGGCTACTGGCCTGTTGGTATGTGAAAAATCTTTATTCATCTCTCTATATCTTTCCACTAGTATCCTTTTCAAATAGCTTCCATTGTAGAACTCCCCGATGTAAATTCAAATTGATTGTTCAACATTATAGTTTCACATCTAACTTGTTGGTTAATCTGTTTCAAATTTTCATAGTATGACTCATAATTTAATCCTACCATAGTTTCTTCAACTTTAAATATCACCTTTACTTTCTTATATGGGTATTGAAATACTTCTAGGCTGCTAATTTGGCACTTTTTTATGAACAATTTTGTCAACCAAGACTTGCTATCATCACCTGAACACTTCCAAGTCTCGATAGAGATGCCATCTTGTTCTAATTTCTAAACTGCTTCATATTTTCCATATTGTTTTATTTTGCACACCTAATCCTTTTGCAATCTTCCTAAAATTACTATATTTTTCTAACCTAAGCCTTTTGTATGATTTTGAATTACAACTTCTTAAGATTACGCATGCCTCCAAATGTCACTAAATTATATGATATTGCTTTATACAGTTGAGTAAGTTATGGTAGGAACTAAAAGTGTGGTCTAGTTACAGCTGAGTTGGTTCTAGTGGAATATTTGATTTATGTGGTTGGGAGTTGCCTGTTTAGGAAACAGAACAAAGTACAAATTGGTTGTTACTGTAACTTTCAAGGTGGCAAAATAGTGTGTGAATTACGTATTTTGGTTTCTTATTGAAGCCGTTAGCTTATAGAAAGGGCGGTGGGGATTTTAATATCAAATCTTTCATGAACCCAATTTTTATTTATTTGATATGCTCGGATATGATCACATAATGACTCTTGTTGGTTTTATTTGGCGAGGATGTGATTGTGATAATAGATTGGCATCCTGGCAAAATTCTTACTGCAATCCTGTATGCAGTGTGAGGAGGCAGTAGAAACTTTTATATCAAGACTTAAAAAGAGCTGAATTTTGCTAAATAGTGTCTGTCATGGAGTACTTCAAAAGGATTGTTTGTCCTGGTGGAGCTGATATCGGCTCATATAATAGTAAATTTCGTAGATCAATTGATCTTTTTGAGAAAATTGCTCATTGAGCAAAGCCTGAAATTGATTGAAGTTTCTACAGTTTTTGTTATTTTGTATGCATTTTAATTTAGTGTTTGATTTCATATTCAAATATGAGACTCTCTATGGCTATGATTAGTTGTTCATTGTTCCTTTTCCCCTCTCCTCTCTGCTTTTATAAACTTCATTTTTTCCACTGCTAGTTTTAGGCACTTTAGGGTGTATATTCAGGTTGCAAGTCTTAGTTTTATAATTTTGCTTAGGTTTTGGTAAAACTTGGTTTAGGCTTTTTAGGGTGTACTCTCAGGTTGCACATCTCGGTTTTCATAAATTTTCCTTTAGATTTTGGTTAAAACTTGCTCCGTACAGCAGAACATGCTCTCTCTCCATGAGCAAAAAAATTGATTGGATAGATGAGGCGCCTTTTACATTGCGTTGACAAGTGTGAGAATGCAGTTTCAAGTCTGCTTGGTGCAAAATAATTCCAAAGTTCAGTTTTGTCTCGTCTTTTCTCCCATCATCACCCTGAATAAGGTAACCAGGCCTAGTTAATGTCCTGTTCGTGGTTTTATGTCCACACTTAATACTAGGTTTATTATCACTGAAAGATGGCGTTGAGAGAGACAAATATCATTATTACTTGCAAATATGGTTCTAATTCGTGGATGAGACTGCAGATTCAGACTCGATGGCTGTGTTTGCAATCAATCCCTAGCAAGGCAAGTAAATAACATGTAAAAGGTTACTTTTTATTTAGTAATGTACAAATTAATGGTTTTATGAGAATGGCAGAATATTTTACTCCCTTAAAATTCCCTCATCTAAATATCATTTCGAGAATGGCAATATTTTTGTTTTAAGAAGATGTCATCAGTATCTGAAAATGTTAATCTTTATTTTCTCAAGAATTCACTATGTTATATTTTACCTATCTCTATGCTTTAATACAAATTTTTCTTTGCAGAACATCTAAACCCACAGATTCACTGGCTCCAGTAGTGAGATTCAAATCTTTGTGAGTCCGTAAGACTTGAGAACTTGTGTGCACTGCATTGGATGTGGCATTAATTTGATGGATGTTATTAATATTTGGACATATTTCTGCTTCTAGATTGTATTATTATTGTATTGTTATGGATCTTGAATGCTTAGTTGAAATGATTTCAGAATACTATCATGGAGCATGTCGGTTCTTGGGGCTGGGTGAAGGGGAAAGTCAAGGCCAGAAAAGCCTAGCACAAATAAGGGCTGCACGGGACGAAAACTCAGAGGCAGCGCTGAGGTGCGAGGGGAACGTGAACCTACATGTAAATAAACGCTGGTCCATCAAGAATACATAAAAAAAAAAAAAATAAATAAATAAAAACACTTCAAATTGTTGATTAAATTGAGAAGTGGTTCTTTCAAACCTGCAGCTATTATTTGTTCAGTTGAATAGTTGGATTTGAGAATTTTCAATTACTCGCATTTGATCAAAACTGTTATGTTTGGATATAGTTATTTGGATTTCATCAAAATTATACTTTGTGTTTAATTGACTCTTTATGAATACCAATATGCCATTCGAGATTGTATGAAATTGTCGAGTATTTGCACTGTAATATAACTTCTGAATATGTACGTATACACGGAGTACATCTTTTCAAGTCTAAAGCTTCTTAGCTCGCTCATTCCTCAGCCTAAACAAAACCCTGCTTTTGAATTCAGAAGACAGTGGTACTTTATGAACTACACAGAAGTACACCCCAATAATGTAGTTGCTACATATTATATAGTCTACAGTGTGGTACATTAAAAAGTAGGCTCTGATAATAAAACGTATATGGTATTATAAGGGTGTGAAATTCTTTGTTGAAATGGATTAAAGGAATCTAAAACCTGATGAATATATAACGGTGAGTTGGTTGTTTGGAACTCTGGCTAAATGGGTTGATTCTTATGTGAGAACATGTAGAGAGCTACCATCTTGTTTGAAGAAATGCCTAAGCGGAATTATGAAAATATTAGTAACTTAAAGGTTAAATATATTATGTTGTTAGTGGAATTATGAAATATTTACTTGTTCATGTATGTGATGTTTAGAATTCAACTGCCATAAAGCAAAGACAATGGGTAGATTAAGCTGGTCAATGATCAACAGCACGCATACCTAATATTTCTTGTTTTTGCTTTTTTTCTTTTTTCTTTTTTTATTAAAAAATAAAAATAAAAATACTCTTGCATCTATCTATAGCTAGAATTTTTTTTTCATTTGTTTATTTTTTAAAATTCAAGAATCAACTCACAACTGCTAATCATTTTGAACTCTCATATGATTTGCAATCTCCAAATGCCCAAAAGATACACTACCTTTTTTACCATTTTAAATTGACTTATAAAGATGGGTAAACTTGAGTTGATAATGGTGATGTATTGGGTTGTGTAATGTTAAATATAAAGTCAAAATACAAACGATACGCGTTCCTTTTTCACCCAATTAAATGGAATAGATATTGAATGCGCTGAGCATTTACTTATCTAAACTTTACGAGCATATATACTTGCGCGTTCCATAAGACTTGGATTAGTCTAGTCCACCGTGGCCGACACACCCAATATTTTTTCCAAACTAATTGGCTGCAACATAATTAATTAGAAACACTTTGATTCGAAGATTTGAATTAATGATCTGTCTCAGCTAGTGGTGCATAAGTTTAATCAATGTAAATCTAATGGCGCTTTTTTCTCTCCAATGGGCTCGCTATTTTTGGTCCCAGAAAAATTAAATCGGGGAATGGGTTGCTGTTTTTGGAGACCCTTATGCTGATCTGCATGCGGGCCCAGTTACAAATGTTGACTTTATTAAAACAGGGTCAGATCGGTAGCAGTGTTTCAAGGACCTGTTTGGCTAAACAAAAGTTTAGAAATTATTTTGCTTCTTATTTGCATTTTTTTTTTACTCTTCTCCCCTATATTGTTTTAATTTTTATAATCTATAATAAATATTGAATTATTTAATTTTTATCACCAGAGGCACACACATTGAATTCATATATATATATATATAAATGAAGGATCCCTCTATGTAACTTTAGACTTGAATAGAAGCTATGGTTTTGTTCTGTATAGATGTTTTCCCCCAAAATAACCAAGAAATCTAGTGAATTTGGACAAAGTTAGGAACTTTTGTGGATAGATTTGGCATTGAGAGTTGTAGTTTTATGAAATTTGAAAGGCTCTAAACTAATAAAGAACTTCAGTACTAATATACCCTAGATTAGGGGAAATAAAAATTTGTGTATTTTAATTTGTAATAGAATTTAGAGGTGAGTTTAGGTTATGTCCTTGTAATGATCATTAAAGAAGATCGTAGGTTGTTTTGCCATTTTCTTCAGTTTTGGAATTTCTTTTTAGATATATCATTTATAATAAATTTACATTGAAAGCAAATGTAGAAATGGTAGTGATTACTGTTCTGGCCATTATTGTCATGTGCTTGGATACGAGTTCAACATCATATCACAGCTTGCTATGATTTTATGTTGGTTAATTTCCATTGTATTCTTTCCATCTCTTGTAAGTTATTGCTAGTTTGCAGTGTATTGATCTCTTTAAGTTATTTAATTTATTTATAATAAAGAATTATGTTTACTTATCATACATGAAGAAGCTTAATGGCATGAGTACTGGAAAAATGAGTATGTTCCTTTAAGTTATTTATTTTTTATTTGTTACAATATATATATATATATATATATATATATATATATATATATATATTATAACAAATTTGTTACAAGTACTATGTTTTATAAATAAAAGCCAAGATATCTCTTGTTTAATTCTGGGATATAAAAATAAATTTTGGTATGCTGACAGATTATTAAAACAAATTTTAGTGGCATAATATTCTAAAGGTTTACAACAAAAAGTTAAAGAATAACCTAAAATTATGGGAAGGAGATTCGAACCTAAGATCATAAGGTGGGAGCACTTAGAGCCAGCCCTTTTATCATTCTGACAACACCACCACACTTGCCATATTAGTTAATTTGGTTTTGAGATGGGATCAGACTTGGTTCCTTCCTCGGATTCATTAATAAAAGCAACAATGCATCTGAAGATGCAAGAAATTCGTTCCCTCTTTCTCTCTCTAGAATTCTTACACTTCAACCCCAAAAAGCTCTTCCCCCTTTCCATTCCTTCTCCTATTTATAGATATTTACAAGATATTTACAAGATATTGACTGATTGCTAGATCTGGGCCTATTCCTCCATAAGTCCTGGTCACCTTTGATGGGCTTACTCGCGTTCGGCCCATATGGCAGTGTCTTTATATGGGCCGACCCAGCTGTACGGACCGAATGTAGTGCTTGCAAGTCGGATCCGGCCCATGTCGTCCTGGGCCTCCTCAACTGCCCCCATAATTGCCCCTTATTTAATAAGGGGTAATTATTGATGGCGTCTCATCATGATGTTGACGGCTCGAGAGAACCACGTGGGGGAACGGACGGTCAGATCCAGAATCAATGTTTCGGGGCTCGAGGAATTTCTCGCCTTCCCGACGCTTCGGCCCTCGGGCCCCCTCGCCTTTATAATGCTCTAGAATACCACTTCACGTCCTTTTACCGTCTCCATCATCAGTCAAATCTCTCTCTTTCTAGAACAGTGCTAAGCTTTTTCTGGTGAAATCCTTCAAGAGTCATTCTTCCAGCGATCTTGCAGTCCTCCGAGGTTAGTTTCGTTCTTTTTTACTTTCGGCAGGCTTCCATTTACCCCCTTTTAGATCCTTCAAGCACTTCCACCATGGTTGTAGATCTGGATGTTCTTCGTATGAGACTTGGACTTCCTGACAACATCGAAGTTAGGGTTTGCCCTCAGGACGTTAACATTATGACCGGCGCCGGCCTCCTGCCCGGCGAAGTCTTATTCACGAACCTTCAATTGAATGTTGTTAGGTTCCCTCTGCACCCTTTCTTTAGTTATGTCTTCAATAGATTGGGGATATCCCCCCTGCAGGTCAACCCCAACTTCTTTAGAATCATATCTGTTATGCTCTTGTTGATGCGTGACAGAAATCTGGACCTTGACCTCATAGACCTTCTTCTGTGCTATAAGGTCAGTAAGATCCGTACTAACGAACCCTTCTACCACCTCTACCCGTTCGAGAAGATGTCCATATGTACGGACACAATAAAATCTGAGAAGGGTTGGAGGGATAGCATCGTGGGCATTAGTGGGGCTTGGTCTTCGCCGGCTGCAGAGGGTTACCCAATCCCGAGCGCCTTTGGTGTCTGTTCTGTCTCCTCCTATAAGAAATTCAAATCTCATAAACATGATTGCCCCTGCGAAACATGCGTTCCTCGTTTTTGCACTTTCTTATGCCGTTCCTTAGGAATACCTTATGATGACTTGAGCTACAGTGTTTGCAGGGATAGGAGTAACTACTTGAAGAAATACGTTCTGAACGATATTCCTTCCTGCTCAGATCTCCTCACTTCAGACAACCTCTTAGCGCTCTCATCACTCGGCTACAACATGAGCAGGCTTCAGATTCCTTCTTTTGGCAGAAAGAAAAATACTCCCCCAGCCACTCCTGCTGCTGGGGCGACCTCCTCTCCAGCGTCAGCCTCTTCCTCAGCCACCATCTCTGACACTGTCCCGAGCACAGTGGCAACTAACTCTGTTGCCAGCGCCCCTGCTGCCAACCAGAGCGCGTCTCCCCAAGCTACCACAGCTCCTGCTGCTGCGGGGGGCGTTCGGGACAAAGAACGAGGCAAAAGGCCTCATCCTGACAGTGAAGTCGATCCTGAGGAGGAGCCTCTCATTAGAAAGACCCGGGTCTCCGGGCCGGGTGCTCTCTTGCACCGTGCGATCAGAGCTCCTGCTCCCTCTGGGCCTACTGCAGCTGGTGGCTCCGCTTCTGCTTCAGGCCCCCCTTCTATCCCCACCTTACCGCCATGGGCCCCTCGGTACACCCGAACGGATGGGACGTTCGTGAAACCGAACGAGACCATGCTGAAGGATGGCCAGACCGCCATGGCCTACTACAGGAGCATGTGGACTCCGAAGGACCTTGAGGCGGCAAAGGGCCTATCCCAGAAGGATGTGTTCAGCCGCTTTCCCCAATCTGCTATGGAGGTGACTTTTATTTTCCAACTCATGAATTCTCTCATATTATTTGGTCTTGCCTTCGCCCGACCTGACTATTGGCTTAACCGTTTTTAATGTGCACCTATGCAGACATTGTTCGGAATGATGGCCATGCAGAAGCAGGTGGAGATGGGGAACGCCAGGGCCCGTAAGTTTTCTGACAGCCTGGAGGTGGCTAATAAAGAAAACGACCTCCTCGCCATGAAGAATACCGAGGTACTGGCTCGGCTTGACAAAATCGAACAAGAGAGAGATGTCCTGAAGAAGGAGAATGACTCCCTTCAGGATGAGAAGGACGCCCTCCAGCTTGAAAAGAGCGTCTGGCAGACTGAGCGTGAATCAATTAGAGAAGAAAAGGCAGAACTCCAGCGCCTTCTGGCTGACGAACAGTCTGCTCGGATGGCTTTCGAGAAAAGAGCTCTGGACGAGC